GTGTGTGTGTGTGTGTGTGCGTCTTTGTGTGTGTCTGTGTGTCTGTGAAAGGTTTGTTCAAGTGTGAGTGCGTTTATGAATGTGACCGTGAATGTGTGTGCGTGAGTGATTCTGAGTGAGTGTGCGTGTCAAGAGTTGCACAATTCGTGTACCTCTGATCACCAAGAGTTCCCGCTCATCCACCAGACCGTGTTCGCTAAGGCTGGAGTTCGAGTCCTCGAAAGCACATCTGAGCACAGTCCCGTTGGAAGACAGACTGGGCCGGTAGTCTGTGGCCCTCAAAGTCTGTACGGAATAAAAAGTGTGAGCGGTTGGCGGGTGCTCTGGTGTGGTTTGCTTCTTCTTTCCTATGAAACTTTTATCGTCCTTATCCCCCCTTCTTCTTTTTTATGTTTGTATGTTACTTTCTTGTGACACCTATAATCTTCTGGCGCTCATATGACCTTATGCAGTTGCGAGCGCCGTAAAACCTTTGCTAAAACTAAACTAAAGGAATAAAAGAAATCGTTAAATCGTTATTCCTTCAGCTGCTTTTAGTTTGGTTGTTTTTATTGGGTTTTCTTTAAATTGGTCTGACCAGGATTGGGCAAGGTGGAAATGTTTGCTCATGGACTACATCCTGACCCAGGGTAAGAAATGCAAGGCTAACCGACTCGTAATCCTGAGGTTGCGTGTTCGCAGGTTTGAGCCCCACGTTGTGTCCTTGGGAAAGGCACTTTACATGACTTTTCCTCACTTCTCCCAGTTGAGAATGGGTACCCGGCCATAGACAGTGAGAGATCTTGTCAGTATATTAGTGTTTTTAGTGCCTATAAATGGCTACTTGCATTGTATGCTTCCAAGGAAGTTGAGGTTGTTTCAGAATGCTCTCGGGTCTGCTGGGGTAATAGTATAGATTGTGAAGAGCGAAGAGCTTGCTGTTGAGCGTGGATTTGCGCTATACAAATGCTATCTATTATTATTATTACTAATGCTGACAGATGACACAACTTAATTATGCCAAACCGCCTTGGAATTGGAATTGCAAGGGTGGACGTTGTTTTACGCCCCCATCCATATAACTCTAATCATTTAGGAGGCGGGCTGCTTCAGTCCTACCTTTGAGGAGCAACCCACACTGTACGAAGCAGGATACCACAACGTTCCACCAGACAGAAGAAAATAACCTTATGCAGTTGCGAGCGCCGTAAAACCCCTACTAAAACTAAACTAAAGACAGATGCAGATCATCAATAAAATACTCACTACTCGTACATTAGAATTCGGCTTGTGCATGAGACGGCTAAGCTTCTAACTGCTAGACAACATGAACGCCTTAACATCTACGCATGAAATGGAAAACAGTGATGACATGATGACGTGAGGATGTGGTGCCGTGATGTGATAATGTGATGACGTGATGATGTGACGATAATGTGATGACGTGACGATGATGTGATGACATGATGCTGTGATGACGTGATGGTGTGACGATGTGGTGATGATGTGATGATGTGATAATGTGATGACGTGATGACGTGATGATGTGATGACGTTATGATGTTATGACGTCGCAACGAACTCACCGCGTACTTCCGGCAGCCATCACGGACACTCTCCTGACGGCCCGGAAGAGGAAATGACACGTCACTACCGGAAAGTTGCGCCGACAGAAGCAGGCGGCGGGCGGGATAACCCAGGTCAGCCTGACACTGTATAGCCGGCGTCATCTCCCTGTTCTCTATCACCTCCACAGGGACGGTCAGCTTAGGCCGGGATGCAGGGACTGGGGGGGGGGATGACGTCATATGGTTAGTTTAGCTGTACTTTAGGTCACACAAGTGACTAAGACAATAGTTACAAGAGAGTAAAAAGCATAAAAAACAAAAGGAATATAGCAAAAGACAATAGGGAATAGCGATTAAGGAAGCGAACAACACCAGAGCGTCCACTAACCGCATGTACAGTGACACCATTGGGGTCACGCGGCGCTCCCGTTGAAAACGGAATGTGAGCTGCGTTAGGAACAAAAATATCATGGTGGGTCGCAGTTTTAAATCTGAGAAGGTGGTTATTATTTCCCATCTTCAGTTAAAGAGTCGGCCATATCGGTCATACAAGTGGCAGGTCTGGCCTAACCCAGTACATTAAGTTTAATTATACGTCACTTTGAGCTTCTTGTGGGGTGCCAGTAGAATCCTCACTATCTAGTCCTCATCAAGAGAGAGATCCGCCACAAACATCGCCAGCCATGGTTCGCCCTTTTTTTTACTCGCTCACATGTAAAAAAAATAATGTTATTTTCCTGGTCTTTCCCTATTACAAATCTATTTAGGCTTTCCAAAATAGTTGTTCTAGGTCTACGCCTGCCTAGTTTGCCTTCAGTTTTACCACTGAGAGAAAGGTGTTCAAGTCATTTTTCTATTTAAATATTCAAGAAACTGTATTTGACTCTTCCTAATTGTCTTGGTTTATGTGGTGCCCATGAGGGCTTCTTTTAGTGCTGTCTTGTTTCATTTCTTTTATTTTCTATGAAATTTTCAACAGTCTTCCATGAATCCACATTCTGTTGCTTCCATTTTTTTTTTTACTGTGGTTGGTAATTATCCAGCACCCACAGCCGTATAGAAGGGTTGATTACCCATAGCCTTTTACACGTAGATCTCTAGTTTTCGTGGTCATTGGGATATTTTCTATTTGTTAGGATTGGGCTAATTTTATTTAAACCTTCTATACGTGTTGGATTTTTTTGGTTTTATTTAAGTGGAACATGTGGCCTCGGATGTGCTGTCTCCGCAGTTTTATGAAAAAAACACACACACAAAAAACAACAACCTGAAATTATGCAAACTGAGCCCAAAAATGTGCAATTATTCTGTTAATTTCAACAAAGAACGCTAAAGGAGAATAATCAGGAATTATGCAAAAAATGATCAAATTTTGCTAAATTACGCGTAGTGCATAAAACCACGGGGCCAGGATGTGGTTGTATATCATTCTAGATATTTAAATTGTTGAACTTGTTTGTCTGTCTTTTTGGATGTTGTATCCGGACGAAAATAAGTTCTGTTCCCATGTGGGGAGAAGTTTTATCGAGTAACTCGACGGTCTTTCTGCAGAGACATTTGTATTGCATTCCTCTCAGTCCGCGTTGACCCTGACAAGCAGGGTAGGAGCCCGCCTCGTAAATGATGTTTAGTTTAAGTAGAGGTTTCACTGCGTTCCCAACTACATAAGGTCATATGTGAGGCGTGCTGACAAAATGAGTTACTTCTCACAATCCACGAATGCAGATTTTGGCCGAAAATCGACACCAGGAATAGAACTAAATTTCTAGGTTTTCTATTGATGCAATATTCATTAAGTAAAAAATACCTCTTGTTATTTCATACTTACAAATTGTAAAAACTTAACCTAAATGCATGATAATGTATCTATTTTCATAGGGCTCAAATCTGACAAGTAACTCATTTTGTCAGCACGCTTCTCATATGAGCGCCAGAAGATTAGAGGTGTTACAAGAGAGTAACAAACATAAAAAAAAGAAGGGGAGACAAGGACGATAGATGTTCGATAGGAAAGAAGAAGCTTGATTGTGCTTGTGGTGATGTTAAAAAAATTATTTTAAAAAACTCCCACATTAGTTAAAATACAACAACGTAGGGGTCACGTAGTTTGGACTGACCAGAGATCTTGAGTCGGCCTTGACCCTGGGAGTCCATGGTGTGCCCGGCCAGGGAGCACTGCACGTAGCCGTCGTCATAGCAACCCAGGCTGCTGATGTTGACCTCGATGTGTATGTGAGTGTCACTGACGTCATAGCTGACGCGCACTCGGTGGGAGTAGACCTTGCTGACTGTGGCTGTTACATACAGGTCTGTGGGACAGGTCCGGTCGAGAGACGGGG